AGGAAGGATGCTTGAGGACTTACTGTTTGTGTTGCCAAAAGGCTCTACAACAACACAGCTGACAGTGGCTTAGCTGAGAAACTAATTCATAGTTGGGGATTTTTCAGTGTGGGGATCTGAGCTGTGCTCCTGAATGTGGGCACTTTCAGTTCTGCCACCGAGACCTTTCTAGCACAGAGCAGTTTCCTGAACTCCAATTGCAGCAAATCTCTCCTCCTTGAAGTATCCAGTTTCCAGCTGTAAAACTACCACAAACTGCTACTAAGGGTCAAACTACCTTAGTGTAGTGGGACATTTACAGCTTGGGAGGATGAGAAGAAATGTAGTGAATTTTTTTCTCAATTATTTTTTTTAATTCTTATTTTTGACATGCTTTTTGTTTAAGACCCCTCTTTTAAAAAAAAAAAAAAAAAAAAAAAAAAAAGAAAGGAAATAAAGAAATTAAGCATTCTGTTAATATCATGTGGCTGACCAGGAGGATCTTGTGCAATCCCCAAATGCTCTTTCCTCCTATAACTGTGTCCCACGCCCCCAGGCAACAACAGTCTGGTCCCAAAGGTGCTCTGATGTTGACTTACCTGGGTGAGTTTCATGCCTGGGGTTGACACTGTCCTGGGCCAGCCCTGGGAGTGGCCCAGACAGGGTGTCCTTCCTTCTGAGTCCTTATTTCAGGTTCTCACCTCTCTTTGTGCCCCTGTGCTCCTTTGGGCTGGTGCAGACTGGCCTTTGATGGGCTGATGGTTACTGGGATGGGCTTGGAGGCCTTCAGGGTGGGGTACTGTTTGGGCTACCCCGCCTGCCATTGTCTCTCTGTGCTCCTTTGTGGGTGTGCAGATGAGCTTTTAGCACACAACCTAACAAGTGCAGTGAGAACACTTTGTGTTTGTAGTGGGATTTGTAAAAAAAAAAAAAAGTACTATATTTCCTGAAGGTGTTAAGAATTGCTTTATATTATTTCTTGTCTGTTAATTGCCAAATTGGCAAGGGACCAGGGACATTCTTCAGATTGTGAGCTTACGATACAAAAAAAGATCTACTGAAGGGTAGTAAAAAAAAAAAGAAAAAAGAAAAAAAAAAAAAAAGGAAAAAGAAGGCTCTTTCTGCTCCTTTCAAAAATGTGAGAAGACAATAAAGACAAACAATCACAACAAATTAATCCTGGTATGTTTTTTTAATATAAAATGTAAACAGAAGAGAAAGCTTTACTGTCCTTTATGACAATTTAATGACACTGGACACACTCTTAGACTCAGGATGGAGTTCAGAGAAACCTGTCCCTTCTTCTGAAGCTGCCTCTCTCTGTTCTTTCCTGGTACACATTTCATTTCACACGTTCCCTGCATTGGATGTCAGTGGGTGTTGGCAGGAGAGATTCGTTATTCCGGGCTGTACAGGGGGGTCTTTCATGAGGACAAGGCTGTACTTAGGAAGGTGGAGGAGGTGGGAGAAATCCAGTCCCCAGATAAGACTTTAAGCACCCAATCACTTATGGTAGCTTAACCTGCTGCTTGCAGGAGCTGAGCTTGGTGTAACTCTCCAGGGGGCTGTAACTGGGCACCTAATTTAAATCTCCATACCTGAAGTCCCCAGAAATAGTTTCTGAGGCCCAAATAGCCCGTTCCCGGAGGTACTAATGCCAAGGTCACAGCCAGGTAGGTTGGTAAGGACCGTGGCTGGGATCACGCTAATTACTGGTTACTGCTTCAATTAACTATCACAAATAGCATCAGGAGGTGACACATTCCCAGCAGCTGGGGTTGGCAGCCCCGGGTGGTTTCCCACAGCAGCCCCTGCTTTGGCATCATCCCTGCCCTTCCCTCCTCCCAGCACTTCAGTGAACCCTATGGAAACCCTTCTACAAGGATTTATGAATATGTGTGAGCAGAGGGAGACACGGGGATGGTCTGAGATGAGGGAACCAAAAGTACTGATGTCTGAGTTGGACCTAATGTGTGTTTTAAGAAAGCAAAAAAAAAAAATGGTCCTGGTCTAAGTCACATTTTCCATTTGTTTCAGCCTTCCTTTTCCTCAGGCTCTAAAACTTATTTTTAGTCCCCAGAGCCTTTTTGTCAGATTTTTTTTTTTATATAGACATATATGTGTGTGTGTGTGTGTGTGTATAATGATTATCCACAGGAAACATGAGCATTCATAGGAAACTGTAAGTAGCAAGAATTAAAATAAGAGTATCCAGTGTTTATTTCCACACTGGGAAAGGGCCTTGGGAGTTCTGGTTTCTCACCTTCCCATCACGTGCTATAAAAGACAGGATGATTAGGAGCTTGGAGACACTGCAGTCCACTCTAAACACTGGTTTGGTGGGATTTTTTTCAAATCCTAAATATAAATTTAACCTTAGCTCAGTTAAAAAAAAAAAAAAAAAAGTCAAATGGGTGTTTGTTTTGGAGGCCAGAACTGTTTCTTTTGTGAACAATGCTCCATTTTATAGGCTTTTCCAAGAAAGGCTGGATCATCCCCCTCCCTTCTCTACTTAAAAAATATAATAGAAGAGCGGAAGGCGTGTTTACAAATACCGAATTGTCCCAGGGTTAACAGCAGTAGGGGTTCAACCCGCCAGCATTGCAGCTCTTGAATTATCCACTCCATAAATGAGAATCAATCTGCTTCTGGCATCTGGCGTATTTTTGGTGGGTTTAGAGGCTGTGTTTTTGTTTAGACTAACAACCCCATCCTGGCCAGTCAAGCCGATGAGTTTGGGGCGGCTCTGGCGCAGGGGCCAGCTGGCTGGGATGGGGCCACACATGGGGACCATGCCCTTAAGCTCCCTTTCTAACCCTCCAAGGCACAGGGGCAGCATCCTCACTGCCTTTTGGCCTGCAGCTTCCGAATTGTTCCCAGGAATAGTTTGGAAGACTGACGATTAGCTCCAAGCCTTCCCTCTAGAAAGCTAAGTCTCGTGATTGTTCCCTGGTAGTGTTTGATTTACTGGTGTGGGCGAGCCCAAGAAGCCCGGGTTCATAAAGCCTTTTGTTATCCAGCCTGACCCACTTGTCAGCCCTTGAGCTCCTGTAAATGCATTTGTAGGGCCAGACTTAAAATAAATCTGGAGGCATTTGGCAAACAGCAGCTTGCTGAAGGGCACGTGCTGCCCCTCACGCGCTCCACATGAGAAACCTGAGGCAGAGCAAAGGCTGAAGATGGGATCTGAGGCTCCTGCCTTCAGGTTTGGCTTTGTGGCTTTCGGTAAATATTTACACACCACCTCTAAACAGGAGGCCTGTGCTGGCTCCAAGACACCCTGTCTGAACCCCCCCGGAGGAGCAGTTTGGGACTCCAGAAGACAAGCCCACAGCGAAGCTGGGGGTGCTGTGCTCAGCCCAGGACTGTGGCCCCCAGCTGCACTGCCCCCGTGGCTGGATGAGCACCAGATCTGGGTGGCAGGATGAGGGGGATCCTGCGTCCTTCTGGCATGGAATGGGCTCAAATGATGAGGTTTAATCCTAACAGTTGCAGTTTTGCTTCTCGTTTGCTGGCCTGAAGCCTGCAGCTGAGCAGTGAATGAGGCTTCTTTTGCTGAGCTCCTGCTTGTTCATAAATTGAACATATTCTGACACAGCTGCTTCTCTGATTTATTTTTTTTTATTCTTTTATACTTTTTTTTTAATCAAAAGACCGGTATTTCAGCAGTGGCACTTCTGGGGCTTTTTGCAAACATCCGAAGTTGTAAAAACCACAACATGTTTTTCTTTCCATGAAACAGTAGCATTGTGGGAGGAACGGATCCATTCTTTGACTTTTAAAAACTCACTTAAATCACAGCTCCAGGTCCCTCCGTATCCCTCGACTCACCGAGGCGAGGCAGCTCCCTGCCTCTGCCTGGCTCAGGGTCTCCTGGGAGATTCCATGCTGCCCTCACCTACGCTTTCTTGGTAGGAAAACCAGCAATAATCCACACAAAACAAAGGCCATTTATACTTCCATTTCCCCCAGCTGTCCCAGGACGTATGAGTTGTTCTTGCCTGGCTTTCTCTGAATCACGAGTCCAGCCCCAACCCTTAAGACATGAAGCCAGTTGAGAAGGGAGCTGGTTCCTCTTCCTCCCTGCCCTGCTTCTCCCTTCTTTGCCAAATGCTTTTTGTCCAACTGCTTTGAGTTCCAAATACTTTGCTGTGTGTCGTGTCTATCAAGGGCAGCCTAAGGGAAGGAGGTGAGTCACTGCCATTGAAATGGCTACAAACTATAATTCAAATAGGCCAGAGCACTGGGGCTGGTTCAATACAAAGGGACTCAATGTCCTCAGGTCGATTTTCTGCCCTTTCAGAAATTTCACCCTGAAACCTCTCAGCATGCAAATACTGCAGCAGAGATTGCAGCTGGTGCTGCTGTGACAAGGCCTCGGAGCTGATCAGAAGCTTTAGGATGGGCAGAGGAAAGGAGAGAAATTAGGTTGGGAGGAATGCAACAAAACTTTCTGACAATAATTTTTCTTTCTTTTTTTTTTCTTTTTTAATTTTGTGTGTCTCCAGGCTACAAACTGTTCTCCGTGGCTTAACAGGACATCAAAGCGTGTCGTTCTGCTGGAATATACATCCCTGGATGATCTGATCCTTTGTGAACTCACTTCCAAGAACAACAAAAACAAAACCTCTGCTTTCTACAGTTCACTTTCTTTTTTTTATGGCTTGCTCCCACACAGAAAACCTAAAATTTAATGGTGATATTGCTCACCTCTAAATCTTCTGGTTGGTGGAAGGACAAGGGACCCTCATTGGGAGAGGTCAGCAGCAGGTCTCAAAGAGTTGGAAAAGACTTGGTAGCGCTGTGAGGAGGTGAAAGGAAATACCCAATTTTGCCTTTTTTAAGCTCATTTGGGGGAAACAAAGCTTCTCCCCTTATGGATGGAGGCAGTGGAGTCCGTGCATTCAGCCTAAGCCCAGAGTGGTAACTGGCAGGAGCCTGCAGCATCCTTTCCCTTTTGCCTTACGTTGGACCCCACGTTGCGCCCGGTCAGCGGGGACGGCAGAACCCGAGTGGGAAAGATGGTTGTGGTCAGGAGGAGGAACGTGAAAGTGTTCACCTTTGCCTTTCTGCTCATCACGGTGACGTCCTTTCTGCTGAACTACACGCATCAGGCGAGCACCACCACCTGGGATCTGAGACATCTCATCATGCAGTTTTCAGAACAAGTGGAAAAACTCTTCAAGTACCCCAGGAGACCGTGCAGCTGTCGCACATGCGTTTCAGAGCTGGGACATTCCCTCTGGTTTGATCAGAGGTTTAATTCAACTATGCAACCTTTCCTGACCTCACAAAATGCCTTCATCCCAGAAGACAGCTACAGGTGGTGGCTGGTAAGTGGGAGGTGTGAGTATAACCCGGTGTTCATGGAATGGTTGTGGTGTCAGGCTTTGAGCAATGCCAAGCAGATAGTGAGAGATGGTTCCTGCCAAAGGCACTTGGTGTCTCAGCTGGCAGGATAGGCAGAGGTGGAAGAAGCTGGGTGTTTGTGTTGCTTATGGGCACTCAGAGTGCCTCTTCACTTACTCCAAGCTAGAAAAGTCCCTGACAGAGTTAGGTGGTGAATCCAGAGTTTGCAAATGCCAATATTGCCTTTTTTCTCCCTTCTCTTTGAAAGACTAGATTTCATAAGCCAGCTTGTTTGCTTCAGATGGTAAAAAGGGCTTTTGCTGTCCACTGAGGTAGCAGAGCAAACTCATGAGGTGTGTAAATCTCCTGGGGTTCTCCCCTACTGTAGGACATGTAAATCATTAGCAGGTTCAAATGGAAAATTATTCATCCCATATGTATGAGAATAGTCTTTATTGTGGCTGGTGATGTAAAACAGGTCTGTGAAGTGCACCTGTGGCTACAGAACACTGGGAAGGAGCAGCCCCTGTGTATCCTTGGGCAGGGTGGTCGAAGGAGCCAAATCCAAGCATCATAAAAGCTAACTTGTAAAGTACCTTGTTCCAAAAGCACAGAAGAAAATATATCCTGAGGCCTAATTCGAACCCCTTTTATGTTTTCTTGAAACAAGACACTGACTAAATGAATTGCTGGTAGCCTTCACTGCTGATCTGCTAAAGCACAGGTTCTGGCCACAGTGACTCCATTCAAACTGCAGTTTCATTATGACTGACTTTACCCCTTTTCAGAAAAAATAATCTCTGAGTGCCTTTCTTTGGACACACAATAGCCTGCAACTTAATGTCCTGCAGTGAGCACAACCCTGGATGCTGAGTTTGGGGCTTTCAGCCCTTCCCTGGTTCCCAGGGGAGAGCCCTCCAGCAGGCACCCACTTCCACAGTGAAGGCATTTTGGTTTGGGAAGAATTGCCAGCTGCTGTGGGAGTCAGGCTCTGTCTGTTCTGTCACTTCTCACTCTACTGGCCGTTGCATTTGCTGCTGAAAAAGAGATGCCACTGAACTACAGTGTCTTTAACTGTTGCATAAATTACATCCTCATTTTATGATGAAACCCTCCTTCATGCTGTGAGTGTCATGTATTCCAGGTGTTGCATCCTTTCACCTGCCCCTTGGCCCATGACTCGGATTTCCCAGCACTAGTGTTTTTTCTTTTCAGCTGAGGAGTCTTCTGCGAGACCCTCAGACCCCACTCCAATTTAAACGTTAGGTTTGGATGTGTTCTGTCTTTCAAAAAATTAAATAGAAAGAAAAAGGCTGAGACTCTCAGTGCAAAAGTCAGAATTTCTCATTCTCCTTCTTGTAGTGAAACTGAAAAAAAAAAAAAATGCAAATATCTCACTCCAACTCAACCTGAAAGAGATTTTTTTGGGGGAGGGTTGTTTCTTTTTCTGCTAAATTAAGAACTAGTGACTTTCAGGACAGCCAAAAGTCTTCTTTTTCTTCCTCTCCCAGTCCAAATAAAACTTGTCTGTTAATTTTCAGGGCTGTCTAACCCTATTTTTAGCTGGGGTTTTTTTGGGGTTTTTTTTTGTTTTTTTTTTTTTATTCAGGTCAAGTTCAAAGGGAATACACCACTTCACAACACAAAATCAAAGCATTTTTTTCTTAGATGGTAAAAATAAATCTCCTAACATTTCTATACTTATTCCATTGTATTTCTTTTCAGCCAGAACTTATCTTCAACCAGAATGTGTATAATATATTGGTGTCCCCCAAAACTGCATTGTGTATTGGAAACCAGTTATTTACTGAAAATACTTGCCCTAATCTGTGGTAGATAGAGAAGGTGCCCTGACTCCTCTGAAAAGGTGCTGCTGGGTAAACCCAGGCATGATGTGAACTCAGCTCCTCATTGCAACTTCTTTCCTCCCTACGTGTTGCTTTGGGTAAGCCTTTCCAAGAGACTCTGTGGCATTCCTACAGTAAGTAATTCCCAAGCGCACCCTGGCTCCACTCCCTTTTCCCTCTTCATTTTTAGGGTCATCTTCAAAATAATTCTGAGGTTTCAGCCAGTCTTAAAAGAAAACATATTGGTCATGCCCATGTTTTACTCTCACTCGCTTTGCCAGCTCCATCATTTGTGACTTCTTGCTGTATTTGTACTTAAAAGAAGAGGTATGAGGAGACCTGAGACTGCTTAACTCCATTTCAGGGGAGAAGTGACTGTGAGTTCACCCTCAGCAGCTGACTTCAGGCAGCGTGGTGGTTTCGTTATGCTGTAACTGAGACAATGGTGACTGCACTGGAGCTATTTAGTGTAAGGCTGTGACTTTCCTGTCACGGGGAGACCCATGTGATGTGCTTGGACTAAGCACAGAAGGAGCCCTTGCCAGGGAGCTGTCTGTCTACCAAGCTCAGTCTGCTGTCCCTGCTCATTAACCTTGCTGCTGTATATGTGAATAAGGATTATTCATCCAAACAGTCCTGTAGCATTAGCATCGCTCTGCTTCTAGGAAAGCAGGGACTGATTTCAGAGCCTAATGACCACTGTTTGAGATTAAGTGACGTCTGGGACCAAAGGAAGGAGTGTTTTCTGTTGCTTACAGCTCTTCACATGGCTGCAAGGCTCCTTCGTGATTTATTCAGAGAATGTATGGTTTACATTCTACCAGCTTGGTAGGATGTGGCCTTTTGGAAGGAAGTATTCCTGGCTGCTGTGAATAAGACCGTGTTGTCCATACTGGAGTTAACAGTACCACCCATGCAGGTGGGAAGGAGCAGGGAAGAGAAAGTTGGTGCCACCATCCCTACAGTGGCTCATCCTGCTGCATAGAATCATTGAATACTACCATGATCACTAAACCATGTCTCGAAGTACCATGTCCAAACGTTTTTTGAACCCCTCCAGGGATGGTGACTCCACCACCTCCCTGGGCAGCCTGTTCCAGTGCCTCACCAGCTATTCAGTAAAGAAATTCTTCCTAACATCCAATCTAAACCTCCTCTGGTGCAACTTAAGCTTTCCTCTTGCCCTATCACTAGTTACATGGGAGAAGAGACCAACACCCACCGCACCACAACTTCCTTTCAGGTAGTTGTAGAGAGCAAGGTCTCCCCTCAACCTCCTCTTCTCCAGACTAAACAACCCCAGCTCCCTCAGCTGGTCCTCATAAGACACGCTCCCAGACCCTTCACCAGCCTTGTTGCCTTTCTCTGGACGTGGGGCAGGGCTGCTTCTGGAGAAGGCACCTAAAAATATACCTGTGTGTTTCTGTGTTCAGGGCAAGCAGGGGGCTGCTGTCAGGCCTGCTACTTGCTTTTCATTTGCTTAAATCTACCCAGCTGATAAATTCTCCCTTGGTTACTTTAGTTGGGTCACAAAGAATGGCCCAGATTCTCCTCCTGGGTACACCCCTGCAGCTGCCCTGTGCTTTTTGAGACTTCAAGTTGAGTTGGAGTCCTGCCCTCCCTCATCTTAGGTTCAGGGATTGTGAGAGGCTCAGTGTTTTGGAAGCTGGCACCTTCTGTTGCGTGATGCATTCCTTTCTGTTTATATTTTCTTTCCCACCTCCTTGAGCTGGTTCACCTGCAAGTTTTTCATTGTTGTTCCATGACACAAACGCTGTGTATGTTTCCACTTAATTTAATAACCTGTACATAAGGAAATAGGGCAAGAATTATGTGCTGTAACACAGCATAGCATTTATTTATAGGGTTTTTATTTTATTCTCAGAGATTTTTGGCATTGTTTTTGGTGGTCAGAAAGTATTAATAATATGAGATCAGAACCTGCTGTTCTAAATCCAAAATAACACTGTTGAAGTTGATGGATTAAAGCTGTGATAACTAAAATCAGGCTCAGAGTTCCCTGGCATTCTTATCCGTAGCACATTGTTCATAAACTACCACGTTATAACAATTTTTATCTCAAGTCTTATGATACTTGAGGGTTTTGCTTTCTTTTTTTTTGGAGGAAAACTCAGGTCTTGGGGACATGCGATTAATGTATCTAAGACAAAATGTTAGCTTTTAGTCATTATGTTTATAGGAAAAAGTGTAATATCTGGCTTAAAGATCTGCTAACCAGATGGCAAACTAAAGGACGTCCCCAGCACGTGTGCTGGGGAAGTTGTGGAAGCTGCATTTATTTTTAAGACAGCAGCAGAGCTACTTGGCACCTGAGTCATGCATTTTGAATGCTCTTTGTAGAAAATTTGCCCGAATACTTTGATCACCAGAAGTTTTGTTTGAAACTGGGACACTGGTGTGATACTTGGAAAGCCGTATGAAGGGCTCAGCACTCTGGAGGTAGCATGTTCACAGCAGAAGGTGGTACCAAGTCCAGGTCCCAGGCTCTAGTCCCAGTGCTTGCTACATGCCCAGTCCCACCTGGTGTTGTGCTGCTTGGGGGCAAGCATAACATTTAGACCAGCCTAGGACACTGGGAGAATCTGACCCTGAGCTGCCTTTTATCCCCACTGGCAGCCCCCACATACATCCAGCTGGGTGGCAGCTCCAGGGTCTCCTATGGTGAGGACAGATGGATCTGAAGGCGGTCCAAGCCCATGGGTCCCTCTAAGCACTGCAGTGTGCTCTGCCAAGCTGGAAGTGTCCTGCAGCCAGAAATGAGGGCACCCAGAGCTGATGAAGACAGGGTCTTAGCTCCTTGGTCTAGCGTGGTGGTGACCCGTACCAGCCGTGGAAGGCAGAAATCATACAATTTGGCATAGGCTTATTATTGTGTGTTATTTATATAATATATGCACATTACATTCATATTCCAGAATGCACAGTTTTTTGACAGGCACAAATCATGAAACAAAGCCTGAACTGTTGAAAGCCTCTATATTCTTCCCCTTAATCTCTTTGATGCATAGTAATTGCAGGACATTAAATATAACACTAATAATGTCATATTTTCCAGACCAAGGAGGCATTTTTAAAATTTATGGTTTCCTTTTAACCTCTCCTTCAGTCTGCAAAATGGAGATTACCTGGATTTGCCCCACCAAGCTGTTGCTAGGATTAATCTTTGTACAATGTCTTATAGCTAGGAAGTGCTGTCTATTAATGCCTCCAAACTGCTGCAGTGAGGCAATTAGTAGCTTTGCAAAAGGGATTCTCATGGGGCTTTATTCCCTCTTTATCTTTTAAAAACAGTTAAAAAAAAATTGGAAAAGCCATGAAACCCAGTATTGCTACACCAGTTTCCCCTGGCTTTGTGCCTTCAGGGCTGCCCTGGCAGTGCTGGCTGCTGCCAGACCCTCAGCTCTATACCTGCCTGTCCACCACAGGGTTTGTGTCTTGATCCGTGCTCTATCTGCATCCATATCACACCAGTGAGTACAGGTTAAGCAGGATATTTTCTGCCTATGAATAAGTTGGGATTTTGGAGGTGCGTTTAATGTGCTGCCAAACTTGTGTATGGATGCAGAATGCACTGGCACCAGGAGAGCTTTAGCTGTGTCCTCACCACTCTGAGCTCTGAGCAATGGCTGAATTCACACCCTCCCTTTGCATCCCCTTAGCTGAGTTTTGGCTGTTGCTTCTTGGCAATTGCTGGCCATGAGATGGTACCAGAGAGGCCTTTGAGGAGGTTATATAAGCAGCAAAGTCCCTTGTCATTCCTAAAGGAGTTGTGCACACCTGATCTGAGAAGGAGCAACAGGCTCCTCCTTGGAAAGCCATTGGAGGAGGGTAAAGAAGGGAAGTGCAGCAAGTTTGAAGATTCTTTTTTTCTTGCTTTTTTAAATAAGAAGATGCAAAACCAGATAGTAAACTTCTGTATGTGAAATGTGGAGTGTCTGAGATTGAGAGGACAAGGTAGTTTGTCTTCACTGTGAAGATGATTAGGAAACTTCTCAAGCTGGACTCCCAGTTGTGGTTCTTAGCCACTTAAGGCACAGAGTCGACTCCCAAGTGCCGGACATATTTTATGGAGGGGAGCTGGAGTGCTAAATGATCCAATGATATTTCATATGTGTACTCAAGGTGAGTTAAGATGCTTTTTGGAGCTGGGCAAGAGGTTAACCTGCACCTTTAGACACAGCTGTTGCTTTTCCTCAGGACACAGAGGACAGGTATTTCAGTGTATTTAAGCCCACTTCTGGCAGCTGTATCCCCACACATATCCCTGGCACACAATGGTAAGGAGGGAGGGAGGGAGCCTGTCCCAGCAGAGCCACATGGCATGGACAGACTTTCACCCAGTGCTTTTGCTGCTTTATAAGAAAGGCCAGACTGATGGGAGCTCATTAAAAAAAAACAAAACAAAACAAAACAAAAAAAAAACCCAGAAATTTAGTGTGGGAAAGTGAACTATTACTGGTTTGCAATTGTAATGCTGTTAAAATGGACTTTTTCAAGAAGTCTAGTAAACATTGTGCAATAAGAAACTGGCTGCACATTAAATCTGGACTTGTAAAAGCTGTATCTTCTGTGGAGTTAACCAGCTCCATCGCCTACTCTGCTCTGTTTGCTCTGTTCTGCTGAAATGTCAAAGACTGACCAGTGCTGATTGAAGATTAGGCCTGAACAGTGTAGTCCAGTCAGATAAGCACTGAGGAAATTAAAACAGAGCATTTTTAATGAGTTAAGGATGGATGTCTTATTGTATGGATTCCAGCACACAGTGCATTAAGGTCACCATCCTATTTGAGGCCATTGAGGGAAGCTCTAACATAAGTAATAATCTCTGCTGTGGAAGTTGTGTACAACTGAGGGATCATAGGATGATAGCGTCCATCATAGCATGATGGTGGATTTTCTGAAAAATACCTTCCTCCTCTGAATCTTCTCAGGCAAAATCAATTCCAGAATAGCTTTGGTTTGGGTTTGTTTTGTTTTGTTTTGTTTTTTTTTCCCAGGATAACAATGTTCTTAGAAATGGTTTAGTGCATATTTGGTGGTTTTACCTTTCATTTCTATTTCTACAAAGGGTTCTGGACAGTGATGTGAGGTGCACCCAGGCTAAGTGCCAGGTTCTGCACTTGGGTCACAACAACCCCAGGCAGTGCTGCAGGCTTGGGGAAGAGTGGCTGGAAACTGCCTGGTGGAAAAAGGACCTTGGGGTGTTGGTGGACAGCTGGCTGAACAGGAGTCAGCAGTGTGCCCAGGTGGCCAAGAAGGCCAGTGGCATCCTGGCCTATATCAGAAATGGTGTGGCCAGCAGGAGTAGGACAGTGATCCTGCCCCTGTACTCAGCACTGGTGAGGCCACACTTCAAATATTTGGTTCACTTTTGGAGCCCTCACTATAACGAAGGAAATTGAGGTCCTGGAGTGGGTCCAAAGAAGAGCAAGGAAACTGGTGAAGGGTCTAGAGAACAAGTCTTATGAGGAGCAGCTGAGGGAACTGGAGTTGTTTAGCCTGGGAAAAAGGAGGCTCAGGAGAGACTTCATCGCTCTCCACAGGTCCCTCAAAGGAGGCTGTGGTGAGGTGGGGGTCGATCTCACTTCCCAAGTAACAGGCGGTAGAATAAGAGGAGATGGCCTCAAGTTTTGCCAGGGGAGGTTTAGGTTGGATATTAGGAAAAATTTCTTCACAGAAAGGGTTGTCAAGCACTGGGACAGGCTGGCCAGGGGAGGGGGTGATTGAACATCCCTGGAGGGATATAAAAGGCATGTAGATGTGGTGCTTGGGGACATGGTTTAGTGATGACCTGGCACTGCCGGGCTCACGGTTGGACTTGATGATCTTAAAGGTCTCTCCCAACCAAAGATTCTATGATTCTATACTAACCTTTTTTGCTTAAATAATTGAGCCATGCACTGAGTCGTGGCATACGTGGTAATAATGACAGTGCTGGTCTGGGCATCCTGATTCCCTTGCATTCTCATCACCTTGTGCCGGGTATATACGTGTACAGAAGCTAGCAAGAATTAGCAGGAAGATTAAGTCTATATATGGAACATTTCTTTGTCTTCTTTGCTTCAAGTTCTTAGCCCCCATGTTGTCTTGTAGCTCTGAACTCCACAGACCTGTTGTTCAATTCAGTGCAAATAAGGTTCCTTTGCATAGTTCTGCAGAGACAGCACAAAATTTAAACCAAATTTACGGCAATGCATCTGTGGGTGTTTGTGTGTGAGAGCCAGCAGGAAAAATGAACAGTTCCTGGTGCAGTCGAGGGAAACGCAGTGGAAACTAATGCCAAATTACCCCAGGCCATTGCTGGGTGTCGTGGGAAAAGGTGTTTCTCCTCTCTCCCCTCCTGTCTCTCCCTGCCCTGGGCTGACAGAGCAAGGGCAGAACCTTTTGGCAGATTTTATGTTGGGAGTCGTTCTCCCTTTGTGAGCGTGCAAGCAGGTGGCACTATGAGGGTGGGCAAGGCTTCTTGTGAGCCTGCCAGCACTCCCAACCTCTTTAGTAGCCCTCAGAGGGCAGAACCCCAGAAAGGGAGTGTCTGACCATCACCTGCACTGCATCTTGGCTGCACCTTCCCAGTCCAGCCATTGTTTCCACCATGCACCACAGAGCTGCTACAAAAGAGTTTCCCTCTATGGCAACAGACATAATGACCAAGGTCCGGGTGGTTTTCTTCATCCTGGAGAATTATTTAAATGATTTTACATCTCCAACCCTCAGGGCTAATTCTACTCTGCCATAGTTCTCGGTTGACTAACAGCTGGTTCCTCCATAGTCCAGAAGAGTAGCAATAAGATCTCCCACTCCCACTCCTGCATTTGCAAACACTTGTGAAAGGGGTGTCATACACTTCTGTGTTCCATCAGATTCCCTGAGACCCTTCTGTCCTTCCTAGGAGGGTTAAAAGAAGTCTTACATGTGTCCTAAGAGAAGACCCCTGGCCCAAGGTGGTATTAGGGTTATAGACACCAGAGGAACATTTATTTTGCTAAGGTCAGCCTCGAGGAGAATGCATGATCTGTCCCACCATGGCGAGACAGAGATTGAGGAGGTGTGGGAATCCAAGTAGAAGGAAAGAAGGAAAAGGAGAACCCAGTTTAAAATGTTAATGGGAAGGGATTTTCCACATTTTTTCTCACAATTCTGCTCCCAGTCTGAAGCCACGTCGTGCATCCTGCAGGACGGTGTCTGCAGCTTGATGCAAGAATGTTCTTTGAGAAACCATTCGAAGCTGTGTCTTGCTCACAGAACCGCTGGCCGTTCCGGTAACTCGGGGTGATTTTTCTCCCTCGCAGAAGCTGCAAGGAGAGAAGACCCCGAGGGATATCAACGCGACGCTGCGGGAGCTGTTCGGGCTGATCCCCGGGGCCGGGGACCCGCTGCAGGAGCGCGGCACCGCCACCTGCCGG